CCCGATGTTACCATTCCTTATGTGACGTCACGACACGACCAGCCATTCACTTGCACGAGAGTCAAGCGCGGTAACCACTCGGCCACGCACGCACGCACTCGCTCGCCGACGCGCGTGGCAATATCACGGCGGAAGGCATGAAGTGCGTGCTCGAAGCCTTGTTTGGCGAAAGGCACGTATATTCCTTGCGTTCTAACTCTGTCAGTGAGTGTGTGCGACGCTGCATTCTACGCAGCAAATGGTTGCGCGCTGCGTGAAGTCTCTCTTGACAAAACTGTCCATAGAGACGGAAGGCTACCTCGGGTTCACTGCTGTTGAACGCAGAAGCAGGAGCCCGCAACCTTGAGAAGTGCTTCGGCCCCACGTGCAGTTTAAAGCACGCGATGGTACATGCTCTTTACTGTTCTAGAACATTCTTCAAAAATCACTCGACTATGTCGTCACAGGTGAGGGATTGATACTGAATCACGCGACGAGTGATGAGAAGAAGAATGATGAAAACAGCTGGTTTCAATTGTTGTTTTGGCAATTAAAAGTGCTTCCCTTCTGAACAACAACAACAGCAAAAAAAGACTTATCGAAAAAAATTTCAAAAAATATTGTAGCCCCATGATCTTAAAAAAAAATCAAAGTTCAGATTTTTTAGTTTTTAAATTTAGACAGACGTTTAGGAGAATGGGGCAAAAAGCGACATACGTAGTCTTACTAGACCTCATACAGCGGTCTATTTCTGCAGTACGGCCCAGTTAATAAAATGAAACACCGAAAATTAGGGCGTCGCTGCATATATATAATTATTAACGTATACAAAATGCTATCGAATATGAAGCAAAATAATACACCATATATAACAACAGCTAACCTGCAAAAGTTATCTTATTATTTTACGCTAAAGCAGCTTCCTATACATTTGAAATGTTTTACATGAGTGTATTGTTTTGGAGCTACGAATCATTTTAGCGGTCTCCAAAAACCCGTTAATTATAAAGAAAAAAACACAGCAATAAGATATCTTCACTGTTCTTTTATAGGCACTCGGATTTTGCAATACGTAACAGGACGTTATAGGATATGGCTCATAAACTTTCAGCTCGCAAGTTTAAGAAAATGCCGTAAACGAAGAAAAAAAAGAAAAAGAGAAGACACATCTTACAAGTTGCGTGATGCGACCTCATCCGCAGCGCCAACGATGGTAACGGCGTCACAAAACTGAATGGGCGTCTCCGGGCTTCGAGAGTGTGCCTCCCGCTCGTTAAAGTCACCAAGCTCTATGCAAAGCCAAAGCCGTAAGAAAACTCTCGAGACGGACTCGTATATATTTTGTTACGCCACGGCTCTTTGAAGGCCTCGGAGATGCTCGGACACCGTAAGCTCGAGAGTCGAATATGTTTTAGTCTATTTTAAAGCATTTCGGCGCTGAAATTTTTAGTGGATGGCGCTACCAACTACGCCAGATTGAAGAATCGCTCTTCACTGTCAAGCAAAAAGTAATGGCAGCGTCGAGGCTTTCCGTTTTAACTTGTCGTGATGCACAGGGCGTCGCTGAATGATATTTACGTCTTTTTTTTTCACCGCAGCTATAAACTATATCTCGCCGAACGCTCATTTTACGCCCGAAGGTAGCGCTAGAGGTCCGAACCAAGATGCCAAAGGTTCAGCGCGAACCGATATTTTATTCAAAAGTTATAAGTGATTTATAAAACAAAAAAAAGACAATGAGAAAATGGTGGCAGACGGACCTCTCGCACACATCGAGCTTTATGGCGCCAGAAACCGAAGACGGCCGAAAATGGGCACCATTTTCTTATTGAAATTTTAAGAAAATTCCCTATAACTTTCGAATGCCTATCGGTTAGTGCTGAAACTTCGGCACATTTTAGCGAAGAATGAGCCTTAGGCGATGCATGGTTCCTTTTTGCAGTGAAAAAAAACCTGTAAATTCTTTTTATAAGAAATCCTGGAGGTTAGGCTTTTTTTTTCTTTTCTTTTTTTTAATCTTAGAATGGTATTGTACACTGTGGAGTAGCTACCACACGAAGCAACCGTTAAAGGAAGAGCGTTTTCGTAGCGTATCCTCGGAGTGTACTTCCTTTCCTTCCTGGGACAAATTGTTGGTGCGGTGGTTACGGGGTCTGCCACGCAACGGTTATAAGTTCAAAACAAAAACAATATACGGGTTGTTACAGGGCCCCTGATCCACACATCCGAATAGACGGCAGGCAGGTATTTGTGAAACAGTTCTCTACACCTACACTCTAAAAAAAGCCCGTGAGTCTGCTTTCCCGCACAACACTCGGAGAGCCAATCACCGCAACTTACGGAGGCAGATCAGCGAATGACGATACTGAAACATATGCTTAGACCAAAAAACGCCGTCTGAGTTGTGACATTAAGCAATGCAAGCGAGACGTTTTGCATTGCTTAATGTCACAACTCAGATTGCGTTTTCTGGTCTAAACATATGTTTCGGCATTGTCATTCGCTGAGCTGCCTCCGTAAGTTGCGCTGATTGACTCTCCGAGTGCTGTGCGTGAAAGTAGACGCACATACATTTTTTAGGTGTACACGGTGTTTAGAAACGGGCCCGATTGCCCACACCAGGTGGGGTCACTGCCCGTGCCCAGGAACCAAATTCGGATGGAGTGACGCATCCGCGCATGCGCAGTAGCGACAACAGTGCCACCGCAGTTGCCTGACGTCAGTGGGTTGACTTGGCCTATAGCACTCTCTTTTACTTTAAATCCAACCGCAGCCAAGGCTACCGTCCGACGGAGTAAATCGGGCAGCGCGAAAAGTGTATAATCTCGGAGCTCTTTGTCGTTTTAGTGTTCGCTATGATTAGCTAAGCGAATCACGCACGTAAAAAAAAAAAATAAGCGCCAGGATCGTGTGGCGTTCTCCGTGAGTGATTGGTTTAAATGGCAATAGAAAACGCACAAAGAGGACAAGCGACGTGACGATGCAATTTCGGTATCGCTAAATTGGCTCCATTGGATCGTATGCCTTCGGCTGGAATCGGACTTAAAAAAGTGAAACGGGGTGGCCTTTTGCGAAACAGTTTATAGTTCTCAAGAAAAAGAATCCCGTTCATGATTTCGGTCAACTTTAAATAAAGCAAAACGCCTAAGAACAGTGAGGCACCATGCCGCCCCTTAAGATATTTGTTTAAAAAAAAGAAGTAGTAAACATATTTTCTTATCACGTCAGAAGCCAGAAAACCTACGAATCAGTTTAACCTTACAAGCCGATTCGTATCTTGCTCAGAAAAAACAAAAAGTTGTTTGTTTCCTAATCCAAAGATGACAAAATGAGTAAATCTTAGTTTGTTAACATCGCGAAAAAAAAGAAAGACCGGAGTAGTGTTCAGGAAAAAGCGAATAAAACATAAAAAATAGCTTAACGCTGAGACTGCACGAGTATAGAGATATAAAGCCGAGTACCGTTCTGATCGGCTGAACTGCTTAAATAAAAATCAAGGAGGGGTGTTAAGCGGGCATGGTGGAAAACGTAGTACATATGTTGGAGTCTCTGAGAGTCTTGGCTGGTGCAATTTTCTTTTGATAACGTTATCTCCATCGCACTCTAAAAAAAAAAATGCACGTTTGACTACTTTACCACGTAGCACGCAGTGGGCCAATCACTGTGGCTTACGGAGTGAATGCAGCCAATCATAAGCCCCAAAAGGTTGGTTGGTTCGGATAGCTCAATGTGCGCCAGTACATTGATCTTTACGGTTCGCCTGCTCCTGAATCGCCTCTGCGCTGATGAAGTCATCAAGCAAGCTCGTGCATATTTCTTTTTTGTTATTTTGTCATGTTATTTTTGACGGGTTTGCTTCATTGATAGCAGTGACACATTTTGCAGCGTGTCCCGCGCGAAACAAAAGGGTAGACACGTTTTACGTATTTTTAGAGTGATGCAGCTCCTCAGGCTTCTTGTTTCTCAACCTTTCTTTAACAACAATTAGGCGGATATTATAAGCTGACTTCTGTCTTTCACATATCTTGTTTTTAGACATATATTCGTTTTGCGCATTTATGTGCTGCTCCCTCCACATTACCACGCAAATACAGCGTTCGGGCGATTTCCCACAGAGCAGCGTCTCCATTGAGGACATTTAGCAAACCGTTAACGTGTTCCGCGTACCGCACTGCCGGAGCCTTTGACGCATCCTTTTAAGTGCGCACCCCGCGGTCACGTTATCAGACGGGCACGCTCTCAAAAGCATGCTTCAAAGACTCCGGTCTCTATTGTCCGTATTGCTCGAGACATGCGCAAACTTTGTCAGGAACGCTCGTCGAAGTAACCGGAACCAGGACTCCGCGGAGAGGGTTCGTCTTGGAAGCAGAGAGCGCGCGCAGCCGAGCGGGTAGCGGCCGAGCTTTTAAAAGGTTTCCAGTGTAAGCGCCTTCAAGAGGAAGCGAGGGAAGAGCGGGATGCCCAGCCCCGAAACCGACGTGTCTCGGCGGCTAACGGGGCGCCGTAAACGAGGTTCCAGAAGACCACGACCGTAAAAGAACGGCGCGCCTCCTGCCCCGACGACGACGCTGCGCCGAGATGGACCAAAGGGAATGGCGGCGACGCGTACGTGCGTACTCGAAAACTGCCGAGTCGGGGCTCATTCCCCAATCTTTCGTTTACTGATTTAAACTCTTCGCAGACTAATGTGACGTGACTAGTTCTTAACCCCACGATTGGTTGGTTGGTGAGCGGACAGTGTCGCGAAACCTGATTGGACGAGCTAGCTGGTGTACCGTTGGCATCGCTCCACCTTGAAGAAGAAATGAGGGTGTGGAGATGGCCGCGGCTCCACAGCCGCCGTGTTGGTGTGTCCCCCCTGGGCAGGCTGTGGTCTGGGCCCTGGGCCGTTTTTACGCCAGCGGGGCTGAGTCCCTCGAGCTTAATTATCCGAAGGAGCAACGGCGGTGGACTGCGAGGGGCGGCGGACCGGACGTCGCGCGGCGTTCGGCTCGAGTGACGGAGGAGTTTGAACACTCCACGCGTCGTTAGATGAATCCTCGGCCCGTCGCGGCGCGTCGTGGGACCTCTTCGTTTTGTCCTGAGAGCCCAGTTTTCCTGGTTTCTGCTGGCGTTTCTGGACGTGAGTTTGCAGCATCGTTTCTTTGGGCCTGAGATGGCCGACTTTTTTGGGGCCTTTGTTTGTTGGTGTCTCGCTCGCTGAGCATTCTCTTTTCTTTATGGTACGCGCCTCTAGCGAATTGAGGAACAAAGCTAATGGCAACGCTGGGACGCATCCTGGGTTTTATATTAGAGACACTTAAAAGCTCCAGGGACGGCTTGCTAAAATCAGCGTCTTAGCGGAGACGCTATGGAAGAAAAAAGCATCACCGAAGTTAGCCAACAGGCGGAGCGGCACCCGAAGTCGAGTCTCAAGCGCTCGTACTCCCCAGGCTGGGCAGGCTTTTCTTTTCACACAGTTTAAGCTAAGCCGATCATTTTATAACTCAATTCACCCTTAAACGGGTCGTCCAACAATATTGGGTAGGAATGTGTCTCGCTTTACTCCAGCTTATTGGCACTGCAGGAACCCAAGAATACCCGGGAGCAATGCCACTGACCGAGAAGCGTCTTCGTCACGGTGGAATTACACTCCCAGAAAAAAAGGGTGTATTCTTACACCCTTTGTCCCGTATAATACACCCAGGCACGTAGCCAGGATTTTGTTTCAGGGGGGGGGGGGGGGGGGGGGGGGCGCCCATGACAAAATTCTGTATGAGGGGGAGGGGGGAGAGGAGGTCCCAGCAAAATAGAAGATTTCGAGGGGGCCCGGGCCCCATGGGCCGCCCCCATGGCTACGTCCCTGAATACACCTCAAAACTATAGTTCAACGTACAGCGCACTGACGTCAATCTGACATTCATATTAAAAATAGCGCAAAAGAGACGGGACAAAAAGACGAAGAAGCACACAGGACAAACGCTAACTGGCAACTAAACTTTTTTCCAGTCTTTCCACCGGAAAACTGTCAATCTGACGGTACTAACTTTCATGAGAGGCTCGATAGCCGTGTGGTACTACTTATTAAAATAGGTAATGTCTGTGCTATTGACTACAAGAAAAAAAATAATTGGGTTTTTTTTGGCTCTATTGCAAAACCTCAGTGCTTTCTCTCTGTGGTCTCTGATACGTATTTTAGCTGTTTAATAAGTTATATCGCACCGTTATCAAGCCCTCGTCATATTTGGGGCGGTCTGTTCGACTATAGTGCGCTGTACGTCGAATTGTAGTTTTGGGGTGCATCCTATGGGACAAAAGGGTGTAAGGTGATATCCCTTTTTTTTTTAGTGTAGAAAAATAAAAGCGGACCTTTTTTCCAGTCCTTCCACCGGAAAACTTGATGGCGGGGCCAATGATGAGCTTTGAGGACAATGCCAACAATGCGAACCCCAGGAGTGCGTCACCACAGCTATGCGATCCCCGTTGTGACGATATTCAAAATGGACACGAAGACAGCGTAGGCATTCTATTATGGCTCGGGACAATGAATGCCTCGGCATGCATTCGGCGAGTGTCTCCTGCCCATTTGCTGGGATGACGGGAATGGACAGCCTGTTGTACTCAGCGCGCGCTTCGTGCTCTGCCAACCCCACCGCGTGGCTATAATAAAAACATTGGGGGCGTATAATCGGCTCCATATCACGGGGCCTTTTTTTTTACTGAGAGTTTGGGGGGAGGGGGGGGGGTATGAACGCAGTGGCAATTAATTCACAAAACGACGTTTCATCGACACGCGATGTTTCATCGACAGATTTCTTCATCGACAGACCGTTATATCAACAGCTCAAATTAGTTCTTTTTCTTTCTTGTAATCTGCAGGAGACTGTCGACACGAAGTGGCGTGTACGGGTCGGTCAGGTGATTCAACATTTGTGTAATAAGTCGCCGCGAAGCGGCGTGAACGCAGGGGGGGGGGGGGGGGGGGGGAGGTTAACGCGAACTTCGGTGATACACGTACGACGCATGACGAAACGTCCATACAGCGTGCAATTCACGTAATGAGTGTTGACAAAACGATCGTGTCTTCGAAACGTGTGTCCATGAAAGGTGTGCCCATGAAAAGTTGTCCACGAAACGTAATTCCATGAAATGAGTTTCGACAAAATGATACGAACCCGTGTAAATGGTGTTCGTTTTTCGCGAATGTTTGCTGCGACTACAATTGCCTAGAGAGAGAGAGAGAGAGAGAGAGAAATGCAACGCATGTTTCATAGGTCATAAATGTTAAGAAATAATTCGCAGGCTAAAAGCACAAGCTAAGTGCTTTGAATGAAGCCTCAGCGGTTGCACGAGCAGTCGTGCAGCGAGTTCTCCAGACAAGGCAGTCAAGACTAGCCGTTCGCGCTTGCAAAGCGTTCGCAGTTAACCCATGTTAAAGTGACGCGGAGCATACATGGTATTCGGGCCACTTCCCACCGCCATGACAAAGCGCTTCCATTGGCTTCTTCACGTGCTGTAATGCCTTGCAATTAACTGGGCAACTTTGCTATGGCAGATGTCCGCGAAATAAAAGATGCAACGAGCCGCGGCCGTCGAGTGCGAGCAGTCTCTGTCACGCGAGCGTCGATTTCACGCTCAACGCCAGGATCGCTTAATCTTTGAAATGATGGGCAGACACGCCAGACTCTTATGAACAGCGAAGATACTTGATCGAACGAATCACACATGAGTTCTTAAGCAAATAAAGATTAATTGAGAGATTAATTATAATCCGTTTCACTTTAAGTGTGAGCGTCTCTGCCAAGCACGTGGGCTTGCGCAGTGCAAGCATTGTTCAGGGCAACATGCTCGCGCTGGTAGCTTCGGCTGGGCCTGGATTTAAGCGAAAACGGAGTATACTATACGCTCACATAAAACGTTTTTGTTATTTTAGTCTGAACGCAGGTTTTTATAACGCAGACAAACTTGGTACTGCATAAAATATCTAATACATAAAATAATAAGTCTGTGATGGCGCAGCCGAGCTGGTGTAGATTTGCCATTTTTTTAACCACCTGAGACAGGGTGGAGAGTTTAGAAGAAACAGAAGTGGAAGGAAAAGGAACAGAAATTTGAGACGACGCCTTCTGTCTTTCTGTTCCTGTCCCTTCCACTTCTGATTGAGCCGTATGGTTTAGAAGCAAACTGATATAGCTTACGTCCGTTTTTTGACATACCTTCTGCAATTTTCCGCCGAGAAAATCTTAAAACACGCCCAGCTCATTCCTGCTCATTAAAACATACACATGAAGCCGGTCAACCGGAAGTTATCTCGGCGCCAGGAAATTACGCCATTATTGTTTTATGTTTACCTTGAAATACCCTGTATATTGTAACGAAGCACAAAGTCTGCTCCGTTACGGCGTTACCGTGTATGGTCATTGTGCTCTCCGTTGGCAATTTCGAAATAATTAGATTCTGCGTTCTTTGCTAAAAAATATTTTCTATGCTTTACGCCTTGGAAATGACATTGACATATTTAACAGATTGAATCCGCCTGAGTTCAACTCGCTTTTGATGGAAACTGTTGTTCATAGGCATCTTTGGGATAGTGAATGGAAAGTTCTCTATGGTACCCCTTTCGTATTCTTGCACCCAAAGAGCGCTGCCGGATACCTCTATGTTCGAAAAGATTTAATAAAAGAGCTTGTAGTTATTATGTACCAGCATTTCTGAACAAACTATACCTCTAGCATTTTTAATTCAAAAACAAAATACAAGCTCAGGAATGTCCTGAGAAATTTTAGTTTGTAATGTGCTCACTAGTTTGCTGTTTTTATTTCTAATTTCTTCGTGTGAACTTTATTTTACATGTTCCCTTTTGCCTACGGCTGGTTTCACTGGTTGTAAGACGATGCTAGTCAAGCCCAACGTGACTTAGGCAGGTCTGACTTCACACTCGCTTTGTTCATTTGCAATAAAATTAATATTTTCATTATTATTATTATTATTGACAAAGCCCCTGGCTTCGACCTCGACGACAACATGATGACGACTTCGACGACGATGCCGACGATGAAATGGTCAACGACTCTAAAGACAAACCTGGCTGCGACGTCAACAACCAACCCGACTACTGCCTCGACGACAAACAGTGCCTTCGCCGTTGATGACGACACGGACAATGACACAGGCGACGACTCGAACGACAAGATCGACGACGATCCCGACTACGACTTCCACGGTAACCCTGACGACGACTTCGACGGCCACACAAGGAAGACCCGCTGGATGATTCCAACGACAACACCGTCTACAACCTTGACGACGACCTTGGTAACGAACCGTATGACGATACCGATGAGGAGTGTGATGTGAACCACGAAGATGTAGAGGACGACGACGCACAGTTCGCCACTCAATGAGTGGAGGAAGTCTGCCAGCTCGACCGCGTTTTGATTCGAGCCGCACAACTTGCGGACGATGGCCGGTACTATCTTTGTCACCAAGACGCCCAGTTCCAGCCCGGCTACCAAGTGTCGATATGAACACAAATTATTCGTCGCAGTGAGGAACTCTTAAAGTCATGCTTCGGCCAGAAGGTTATTTGCTACCTGAGGAACCTAAGCTGCATACCGTTGCCCGACGGAATTTGAACATTTTCGCGCCACCCTCTACCACCCGATGGTGATTCACGCTGTCCGACTCGAACGGAACTATGCTCGATAGTACTGTGAAGATCTGTGTTTTAAGTGGCTCTGTAGATTGCCTTTCTCTTGGTAGAAGTTGTCAATTTAATTTCGTGTTGCATAGGGGCGATGCGTTTTTTTTTCTTTTTTTTCAAGAGAGGAGTAATGCCGCTTGCGAATATCTCAGTCAACAGCGTGCTCGACTCCCACTGCGCTGGCTGGGGTTTGATCCCTGCTAGCGCTTGTCCCCTTTATCTCTCTTTTGTTTGCATGCCTGGAATTCGACAGATGAATCAAGAATCTTGTTGCTTCTCCAAGTTCGGAAACTTCTAGATACCCACGCGCTTACAAAGGGAATTTCGCATGCTTGCTTCAGTCAGTCATCTTTCAGTCGCCGTAAACGTTGTACGGTATTTTTTACGGTAATTTTAAGTTTCATTAATCAAGTTTATAGATTTATTCCTGACAGTATGCG